TCTTTGAAATCATTTAATGATCAAAATTTGATTCTTTTCCCAGATTCTTGACAAAATTCAGAATATAAGAAAAACAAAATAAAAAAAATCAAAGCATAATTTAAAATATTCAAAAGTTAAAGAATGTCTTGCATATTGAAAATAGATATGAAATCAGATGATACAGTTGATAAAAATTTGCAAGTAATTAATTTTAAGAATCTGTTTAACTTGAAATTTCAGGTAAGACTGGCACTTGGAATGTGAATATAGTACATACTAAAGCCACCTTAATACTCACTGCCCCTTTTCCCTGAAAAATGGTAACGACAAAAGTAAATTATTGGCACTTTCTAAGTTGGTCATTTTGGTTAACATTTGATTTTTGGCATTGATTAAGGACTAAGATGCAAAATAATCTTGTTGTTAGGAAGTGTTCTTTAAAAGAAGATTAAAGATATGTTCCCTTTATTTTAACATCACTTTCTTGTCTGTTTATAGAGCTGTCAATCAAAGATGGAATCATACCAAAATTGCAACACCTAAAATCAATTGGAGTATTATTCACAAAGGCAGTGGAGTGTAACATATTGCTTTTGTCAGCCATTTTAAATGTTGCTCGAGAAATGTAAAAAGAATAATAATTTAATTTTTACCAATGTGATGCAATTCTATTTAAGACAAAAGTGTTTATAATATAAGTTTAATATAATTTTGCTTCCTCACTTTAGATTAAAAACAAATCTTTTTAAAAAAAAGAGATTTTTTTTCTTTTTAAGAACAAAATCAAAACTAATCAAAGGAACAAAACATGAAAAGATATTATTTATTTATTGTAAAGAACCTCCCTTCCCTCCTTTTAGATGCACAAAATTCATGAATTAATTATAATTCTATTAATGTTATTTTCCTGCTTCTTGTCTAATGACTTATCCAATAATGTCTTCAGCACTCTGATTCTGGTTTTATTCAGAGAAATTTCTGAATAGCATAAAGTGAACAACAAGAAAAGACGCTCAAAAGATACAAAGTTTTATAAAATATGTAAAAAAATAAAATAAAAATGCCTGAAAATTTTAACATTTGTCACATGCAATATTCCTCTTTATGTCTCAATAATTTTGCTATCAAATCCAAATATAAATTATTTTGTCAAAGTTAATTTTGTTTTCATAACATTTTATTAATGCATAGATTTGGATAAGGATTAAAATGTCTGTCTAGAAGTAATTCTCAACACATTTAATTATTTTCAAAGCTCAAAGACAAAATAACGGCCAGATCGCAATGGTATGATAGCAGTAAGTGTTAAAAAGAAGACTTAGCATTGCAATGAATGCTTCCAATAGGATAAGAAATTTCAGAAGCTCATGTAATTGAAATATATTTCCAATAGCTGTGTTCATCTAATTAAAAGAATCTTTAATATTTTGATTACATTTATTAAGGGATTCAAAAAAAAAAAAAAAAAAAGTCAGTGAATATTTCAAATTTATTTTGTTTCCTTTATATAGGGTGTGGCAGAAATACCCCCCACCCCTTAATGGCAAGACATTAGTGGCAATGGTGTCTTCATCTAGTTAATGTCTTAACCATTATGTGGGAGGTATTTCTGCCACACCCTATATAAACTTGAAGCTCTACAAAAGGATTTTTTTAAAGCTTTTTAAGTAGATTTTGAAGTCTGCAAGGAAAAACATGTTCCACTTCAAATTAATCCACAATTAAAAGTCTGACTTTATGAAAAGATACTTAAAGAAACAGCCAATCATCATTCTCATGAAAATTTATTTAAAATACTTTCAAAAAAAATTTGAAGATATAGATAAAAAATTCCCATCAAAATTTTAATTTTCAATATATAATCAATGAATTTCCTTGAAAAAGTCATACTGATGAGATTTGTTTAAAATTAAATTAAAAGAATCTTTAAATTCAAAATCAAATTTGAATAATTCCTAGTCTAATTAGTACTAATTAAATTGATTGGGCCATTTATAAAAAAAAAAAAAAAAGGGGGGAAACTTAGCTGGTGGGAGGGGGATTTATTTTCATGGATTAGCATTTATTAGATCTTCCATAATAAGCTATGGCATTTCTCAGAATTGAAAATTAGATTTTTGTATCATTTCAGAAGGGAGAAGTCATGTTCATGTTATAAATAGAGTGTCAAACCAATCTGATTTTTTCAAGAGTTACCTATACTTTGTTTTTATTTACAAGTGACAAATTTGAAACGGTGTTTATATCACTGATAAATGTATACTACTGATGCTATCTTTCCCCCACCAATTTATAATAGTATTCAGTTATCAATGACATAAGAAGTTTCAAACTTGATATTTGTAAATAAAAAGAAAGTACAGATAACTCTTGAAGTCAGTGATCACTTTGATACTGTAATTATATGAACAGGAAACAATCTGAGATGATAAAAAAAAAAATTTTATTCTGACAAATGTTGTCATTTGATGAAAGTTTAATGATTGATAATCTACAAAATTGTTAAAAAAAAAAAAAAAAAAAAAAATTCTTTTTTTTTTTTTTTTTAACAAATGGACCAGTCAATTTAGTGCCAATTAATTTTTAAAACCTGTTTTTTTCAATACAAAAAATAATTAATTAAACTTAATAATTTTAATTACAAAATTAAAACTGAAATTTATTGCAGTGAGTCTATCCAATTTTTCTGTAATACATTTTAATATCTGGTTCTTTGAAACATTTGAGTATTTGTCAAGAAATTCACTTAAGGGTCTTAAATGCACACAAAGTTTTATATTTGTAAAATATCAAGCATCAATACAACGAAACCTTAAACATAAGAAATCCCTAAATCCACACACATTTTTGACAGGGTTGACATTTTTTTTAATAGACTGACTGTTAGCAGAAAAGGGGTTTTCTATTATATCATCCAAAACATCAACACACAATCTTTTTTGAGTTAAAGAAAAATATCAAATTTTTAAAATACAACTTGAATCAATACAGATGAACAAATCTTCCTCATATAGCATTTTTCAAAGTTTAAAAGCAACCTGGCAAAGTTCACTAAGTATTTTGGCAATTCAACCAACATCACTTGAGCTCATGAAATATTTAAAGAAGAGAAAGAAAACAAAGGTGTTCCTATTTTTTATGCTCACAAATTTGAAGAAGAAAAAAAAAAAAAAAAAAAAAAATGGCAGCAAATTTTATTTATTCTTATTGCACATTCAGAGAATCAAAGAATTCCTAACTTCTCTTACAACGGAATAAAAGAATCAAAAGCAAAACGAAAACAAAGAAATCCAAGCTGAGGATTTGCCTAGCATGCAAACTCTACCCCGCAGAGATTTAGAGTGGCAATGAGGTGCACTTTTACAATCTTGATATACAAAAAGTAAAAATCTACAGAATATCTCATCAAAATTAAAAAAAAAAAACACAAACATGTTTGGTCTTTTTTTTGGTACACTGTAAAATTGTACATCAGGTTAGACTAGTTTGTGTAGAACTATGCTTTTATTAAATGCTCAAGTTTTGGCAGTGCCGTTAGTAATTAAAATAAGACATTAGATATGGAGAGAGAAAAAGATATCAGTAGATAACAAATTCTTCCTGGCACTAAAATTGAATCTTCATTACATTCTTTTTTTTTTTTTATATATAAAATGACATCTTCGTTCAGGTTTTGATAGGGGAAAAAAATCTCAAAATTTATTGTTTGATGAAATAAAATGAAGTTGAATGAAATATGAAAATTCACATGAGCAAAGAAAACTTCTGAATGCTGTTTGAATTTGGTCTCACGAACAATTAAAGAATTTGTTAATCTGATGGAAAGCAAAAGCATGAAAAAAAAAAAAAAAAAAAAGAAAAAAAAGAGAATTCTTGAAACTGGATGGTTTTAAGGAATGTTAACATTTTATTGGAAAATGAAAGTTGTCAAGAGATTTTTACTGAAGAAAAAAATTAAATGAAACCTAGGAATAAAAAAAAAAAAAAAGTCTCTTGAAGTAAACTCCTGTAATTGGTCAGGATTAAAAACTCGGATTATATTTTTAAAATATTTTGTGATCAGATGTTTAAGTCATGTGCATAAAAGGTTTCATTAAAAGAAATATTTTTAAAAAGGAATTTATGATTAAAAAAATGACTAATCATAAAACCTAAAAATCTGAATAAAACAAGAAGCTATGAAGACATTGCCAGAGTTTTAAGTAAAATTAAAAATTAAAACCAGGTTTCCTTAAAAATATTATAAAAAATAACCATCTCTGAATGCCAACAATTTGTTATTGTAAACCTGAATATTTCTATTAAATTATGTCTAAAAATTGAAGAAAAAATTCTAAGAAAGAAAGGAAACATAAGATTCACTTTGTGGGAAAAAAAAAAAAAAAAAAAAGATAAAAATTTCAGTACCAAACAGAAAAAAATTCAAGATAAGAGGGATATAAGATTTATCTTGTGTCACTTTTGCTGGAAATGTGTGTGTGTGTAGGGGGGGGGGGTAGCAAATTAAATTCTTTCTGTAAGGAGTTTTTTTTTTTTTTTTTTTACTATCTCAAAAAAAAAAAAAAAAAAAAAGGCAGTAAAATTTTTCCAAGCCTGATGTTATAAGAATGAAATTTGCTGTGCAAATGAAAATGAGAAAATAGAAAAATAGTTGCACAGTCTGGTATTATTTTTGCTGCTTCTCCCTTAATATCTTTTATAGGGTTCATGCCTGTATGAAAAATTGGTTTTGTAATCCCCAGTATGTGAACTTCTTGAATGCTGATTATCATGCTGATGTCGTCTCTCAACTCGTCGTCCTGAAGACGGTTGCATATTGGGTAAAGCTTGATGAGGTTTACTCATTAACCATGGTTGCCGGTTGGAAAAGTTCTTGGAGTTATTGCCATGATGGCTAGAAGGGCTGGCATTCAAATATTGGTCGTAATTCTTTGAGTAAGAATTGTCATAAGGACTTGATCCACGATTCTGGTTATTGTTTTCTCCTCTCCGGCTATCTTGAGAATTTCTACTGAAACGGGGCGTTGGATGATTGGAACTGTCATGGACAGAAACTGTACGAGCACGCATGTTCAGAAGTTTGCCAAACAGAGAGATGCCATCCATGATACGAACACTGTATGGAACCGATTCTTCATGTTTGAATTGAATGAAGGCATAACGCTTGTCTTTAGGAACATACACTTTTTCCAAGGGACCAGCCTGGAGAAAATAAGAAAAAGACAATGAGGAAAAAAAGAAATATTATAAGACCCCATATAAGAAAAAAAAAGTGTTGGTTCTTAAAAACTGAGTATTAGCTGAATGAATTTTTGCATGCCACCTTAAATTCTTAAAAACAAGGTTTAAGTTTGAATGTGACTTCCTATTCTGGGTTGACACTGAAGCTGAAATGGGATAAAATAAATTTGATCAGATTCAGTAAGATTCATTTCAGTGAACAAATTAAGAAGTGTGGCTTCTTAGAAGACATGTCATCTCTTGTACAAAAAATATTTGCTGACATTCCTCTGTTGTAACACATTACAGACACAAGGCTATCAACACAGTCACTCATGCTAACACGAACCCAATTCTAATTTTGACAATATGCTCTTGATGTATATTTACTCAGTCACATATATCTTAAATTGTATTAAAAAATCAATAATACTTTGTTTTCACACTTTATAGCTCTTTGGAGACCACTTACATAACTAAATCTGCATATTTTTTTCTAAGAAAATATATTATTTCTGATAAGGTATTTTGTTTTTTGAAAATGACCTTATATGCAATGTTTTTTGTTTTTTTTTAATGCAAAGGGTTACTGAGTGTTAGAGAATATGAGAAAAATATACTATCAAGGAAAGAGGACAATAAAAAAAACACAAATTAAGAAGACAGAAGATAACGATTGACATTGCATTTAAATTTTGTTTTTAAAGTTGTCTGAGAAACAAGAAGCTAGAAGATAGTTCCATAAGCGAGAAGTGCAATAGAAAAAACTGTCAGCATAGAACTTACGATTGCATCTAGCCATTTTGACTATAAAACGAGGAGACCTTGCTACCAATCTAGCACTGCGCTTAAATTCATAAAATCTAGGTACCATAGAGGAAAGTTCATCAAAACAATTATCATGAAAGCATTCATAGAAAAAGCACAGGGAAGTTACATTACACACCAACAGAAAAATGACTGAAGCCGAGATGCCAGGTTAGGACTGATAACATTGCAGATTCTTTGGATTTTATCAAGAATCTCTCAATATATGGCAGAAGCACCAGGCCAGATGTGACAGCAATATTCAAAGCAAAGACGAATCGTAAACTTATGAAAATAAGATAATTTTTCTCACCAGAGAAACTGTCTCTTTTAGCACGACATTAGCGTGACAGTGAAGCAACTTTCCTAGTTGTAGATTTAGCAGTTAACTCAATATAATAATTTTTCCATTTCATGTCAGCGGTAACTGTTAATTAGAAGAGTTAATGAGAAAGACCTGTGTTAAAAGGTGGACATAAAGTAAAGGTCCAGTTTAGCTTTTTTTTTAAATAATTCCATTATACACCCCATCCCAACCGACCCGACATACTTCACATGTTTATTTCCTATAAAATAAGTGATGGTCAAATAAAATTCATTCAATTTCAATACACATTAAAATAATAAATTAAGAAAAATAGATCTTCCTACCAAAAAAAGCACCGGTTTCTGAAACCAAATCTTAATCCGAGAAAATAAAGCCGTCGACGTTTTACACCAATAATAATAATAATAATATAAGAAAACCCTTTTTTCGTTATCCATGAGTCTCATAATTTTAAAAGAAAACGTTTATTTTTTCTTTTCGTTTTTCAGTGCCATGAAAAATTCCTAAATACTTATTAAAACAAAACAAGACTCGTAAAAAACAGTTTAAATTTTAGAATTCCCGCTGGTTACGAAAATTTGAATCTTGTGGTGGGACTAACGCGAAAAAGTTGGCATTATTTTATTTCCAAAACAAAACTTTTCACAGCATTTAACGGCTCTTTGGAGAAAAAAACTGACAATTTGGCTGAATTGGAAACAACTAAAAATGATATAAAAGAAGAGTAACTGAGCATTTGGGGGGGGAAAAGGTTGAAAAATGATTGAAATGTTTTGAATTTGGGGAATGAAATATTGCTAAAAAAAAACAAAAAACACGACGAATTCAGCTTTTTAGAAGGCGAGAATAATTTGTTTTCTTTTTATGCTTCCGTATTTTAATTTTGTGGACGTAAACGTTTATTTATTTATTTTTTTCTTTGACGTTGAAACTAATGAACAAGAGGAGGGACCGCATTTCTTAAATTGTACCCAGTTGAGACTACCTGGATTGGGAATTTGGGGAAGGAAATATTAAATGACTTCATTCAAATGAAAATAACTTCAAAAATTTTTCTTAAAATTAACTTTCGCTCTTTTTTTTTTTTTTTTTAAATTTATTTTACTACCAGAAAATATTGTCCGAAACTTTTCTTTTTCGTCTATCTAAAAAAAGAATTTCTTTTTTTTTGCTTTTTGAAAAGATGGATTGTTTAATCGTCAAAGAGAATACAACACAATTTCAGAGAATAAATATTTCTATTTAATTATTTTTCTATTGAAAAATGTTGGAAAACTGAAAGTATTTTTTCCATTTTGCGGCTTTTCCAGATTATCAATTCCAAGAATTTAAAAAGTAACTATTTATGTTAACCACCAGAATAAATGTTTTTTGATGTTGTTTTTATTTCTATTAATATCAAATTAATAAATTTCGTGAATTAGTTATTATAAACTTCAAATTAAAAGAAAATAAAAAATATTCAGAGTTTTGTTACGTGACATCAAAGATAAAATTCACGCACCGGAAAATATCAAACATTCGTGGATCTTCTTTGATAATGACAAAATTCGTTTAAAAAATATAAATAAAAGAATAAATATAGAATTTAGCGTTACTTACTTGCAGAAACAATTCGTAAAGTAATTCTTCAGTGATATTTTCAGGTAAATTTCCAACCCACAACGTTTTCTGTGTAGCATCCATTTTGTGCTTGGATCAAAACATTAAAGAGTTTCCCAAGGGGAGATAATCCTAAAAAGTTCTCGAGTTTGGCATTTTGTGAGAATCGAACTAGCAATAAAATAAAGAAAAGTAATATAGTTACTTAAAAAGTGAGGAAGAGAGTTGCTCTTCTAAGTTAAGAGAAAATATATCTTTTAAAATATTACCTAACAACATTTATTGTATTTTTAGGTTTCGAAATTTACTGGTTGTTCTTAATTCAATGGATATTTATTGCATAAATTATAAATATAACACTTAAGTTATATTTTCCAAGCGTAGCTTAGATATGGCACAAGGCCGAAAGTATGGGGCATCCAATGATGATCGAGCTCACTACTGAGTTGTAATTGTTCTAGCGTGTCAAGCTTGCTAACCATTACACCACCTGGAGGTGCCCAACACTAAAGTTAGTACTTGTCACTGCACAGGCCAAGTATTTTTCCTTTGTATTATGCAGTTGTTCTTTTGGTCGAAAAAAAAATTTTAGGTCATAGAATGCTATTAACAAAACAGTCATAATAAAAGCAGTTTGATAGATCTAAAAATGTGGGGAATTGTCACATTCCAATCTAAATGTTCAACTAGGTACAACTTACACGACAGAAAATGATTTATTTGCATAACTATTCAATCTAATTACCAAAGCCATTAACAAAACACATGCTTATTTATAAAGATAATAAATGATCAGATTGGAAAAACACATTGTTTTTTAAACAAACTGATATTTAAAGTTCAATAATCAAATTAGTTATCTCCATTTAGCAAGAACTGTGGGAAAATGAAATAAAATTGATAAAATAATAATAATGAATAATAAAAAAAACAAAGAAAAAGAAATATGTTTTCCCATCATGCTAAGAATAAAGGAACCAGAAATATGATTATCCGACTTGACTTTGAAAAACACTATCAGGTGGCACTGCTGATGTTTATAAAAAGGCAGACATTTCCTGCTTCATTTTCTCCCTTTTGCTCTAAAATGTAGAACCACAATGTTCTCTCTGGGGAAAGTTAGTTTCCCTGGTCCACTAACAGCTGAACTGTTCACTTTTCAATGCATGACACTTGCACATGTCTTCTGAAAACCTATAAAGTAGTATAAACTTTCTCTCTGGTTGTTTCAACTCAGTGCAAGGTTGACTTGAGCATGACCATTGTAACAATGCTTACACTGACTTACACTAACTTTTGGATCCACAAAAAAACTAAAAAAAAACAAAAACAAAACCGATATCCCATAACTATGTTTAAACCTCCCAGTGATAAAGTAAGTACAAACCTTCATTTGGTTGTTCCAACTCTGGCTGACTTAAGCTCGACCATAAAATTGACCCTAACTTCTGAACCAAGAAAAAAAATGAACATATCAAAGAGATACTGAGAACTTTCACTACAATCATCTTAAAAAAAATAAATGGTCCATAGTAGAAACCTAAATTTTTGTATACTTCTTTGTTTATCATATGTGAACATGCACCATATCTAAAATACACAAAAATCTTACAACCTTTCAATAGAACCATTAAGTTGGACAAGAGGTAAGTCAAAGCTGGTAGGTATCAACAATAAACATAAAAAATTAAGATAGATTTTGGCAAACATAATTCAAATATTGATTTAGAAAGTAGACTTAGAAAGTAGATATTTTTTTCTCTGAAAAATATTAAAGTTGAAAAGGACAGTAAGGATTCAGGTTGTTTTCAAATATAAATTTCATACTTACAAAGTGCCAGTGTTTTCTGTAATTCCAAGCCAAACTGATTATCAAAATTTATTTCTTGCAAATTTTTATTAATTGTAATTACATTTGATTTACTATCTCTTAATGGAAGTAAATAATATTATGTCATGTTAGGTTGACCCAGATAATGTGTGAACTATAGAAGAAAGATTTATTCTCATATTTACATTTCCCCCATTATGGGAATTTTTATTATATCTATAATATAATAACATCTCATTTCACAGACAGAACAAAACTGCTGAAAAGAAAAGGAATAACAAACATGCTTTGTTATCAGATTTTTTATACCGCTAGGTCATGCACAAAATTATATATACATTTGTCCCACACAGAGAAAATATAACATGTCTACATAATAAGCAGTGTGAAAAGAGAATAAAAAGATAGGTTCTTACATATAATATGGAGATTCTTCTGGGCTTCCAGAGATTTATTTAGGATTCCAGCTTCAACTGCTATGTCCTTAGCAAGAACATATTCTGCAAATGGAGAACTGGTGAATCTTGGTTTTTTCCAACATGAGGACTATAAGCTGAAGATAGTTTCTTTCTATATCTGGAGAAGATATGTTTCCATAACAAAATGGTGCCATAGTCTTGTAAGCTACATCACATGATAGCTGGTCAGGAGAGGCAGATTTAACCTCTGCTAAAAAAGCACTGCTCAATTTGTCTCCTTGCTTGTGTAGTGATGTCACTAAGCAGCTGTCATGTGTCCCATGTGACTTTATCTCCACCAAAGGGAGATAATCGTCTTTTGTATCCCTACAATAGCACTTCAATATGGTAGACATTTTTAAACTTTTGAATATTTTAAATTCTAACTTGAATATAAGACTTGATTTTTATTTCATCTTGCTTATAATTCTGAATTTGCTTATTCCATTTCATTTTTTTCTGAATCTACTCAAGAATTTGGGAAAAGTATCAAATTTTGATCATTAAATGATTTCAAAGAATTTTTCATTTATTTTTAACTCCTTCAATTTATTTCAGTTGCTTTTTATTGCAATTACTCAGGGAATTAATATCACAAGAGAAAGAAGAAAACTTTTTTTCTCACAATGTCTTTGTGTAGAAGTTTCTCTTATTCTTGATTTTACAATGGTCAACAATTACAGAAAAATCAAATCTAACCATTGAACATTATCATTTATTTTTCATAAATGTCTGCTGTTATGTTCTTTCAGACTTTGTTTATGTACATTAGTAGTATTAGTAGTTCATATTAATCCAAAAATGAGTCATTCTGTGTCAAATCAACAAGAGTCTGACCATCACTGACACAGATTTTTTAAGTACTTCAGAATGGTATATAATTTATCTTTGATAACACTGGTGATATTGATATTTAAACTTAGTGGCTATTTTCTAAAATTTACCTTTTTGGCAAGGGTTATATCTCTGGAACCATTTGACCTAGAAATGTAAAATAAATACCATTCAATTTCTATCATAAAGCCCTATTGGTGTAGCAAATTTGAAAAATATTTGTTGGTGATGATCAGACCTTTGTTGATTTGACATGGAATGACTTAAAATAATTTTGATCATTTGAAACTGTTATTTTGATATATATGCTGCTCTTGCAAAATGCAACATCGGTGAAATTACATGGGTTGATTGTCCTAATTCCACATAACATGCCTTTGGATATCCAAGTTTTTGTTCTCTCTACTGAGCCCAGGGATTGAACTAACTCTTTGGGTCAAGTCACTTTTAGGATCAATCACCCTACATTTTTATCCACTGGGCCATGTGAGAAATATAGACAGATGGTGAAAGGCAAACATATGTTCACTTAGGGCAAAATATCCCAGCTGGAGTATGTTAGTGTCCTTGGTCCAGACTACTGAACTCTTGCAAACATTCACATACACGCACAAGCAAGCACATTCTTAAGAAACAAAATGCAGATGGAGTAGCCAATTGCTACTGATAATGGTACCCACTCCTGTCAGTCAAAGAGATACTGTTTAGTGTGCTGTCTCTGCAGAAAGAAAGCAAATGGCTGCCCTACCAGAACAGAGTTGATGTGAACCCCCAGAACATCTGGTTATGAAGAAAGAAAGTGTCTACCAACTTCCCCATGTGATAGTCAGGATGGTGAATGGAGTGGTGTTAGCTATGCAAATGATTCCTTTGCAGCCAACTGCTAAAGTTTTAGGCTCCATAAAAGCAAGCACATTTTCTGGGAAGAGGTAGTGTCTGCCAGTGAGCCATGTTGGGTGTCCTAGTTCAATGTGCCATGCCTTTTCTCGATATCTCAGTTTTTAGACATATGGCCCTGTTGATAACAGGGTTGGTTGAAGTAATTCAAAAGTGACTTGACCCAAAGAGTTGTGAGTTCAATACCTGGCCACAGCAGAGGTGAACAAAAAAAAAAAAAAAAAAAAAAACAAACTTGGAGAGTTGAGTTACTACTAAATTGAAAACCGTGATATCTAGAAAAAGGCATGGCACATGGAACTAGAATAATTTATCCCCGTGGACTAAATAAAGGATTTGGTTCAAAATTCCATCATATATTATCTGAAGAAGACTGGAGCATGCAACAACTGTAACATTGTGAACATGACAATAAAGATAAAAACAGTCTGAACAATGTAGTTACAATACCTAATGTCAGAAATATAGACAGAAGATTTTTGTCTTATTTATTAAACTTAGCCTCAATCATGTGCCATGCGTGATACATGCTTAGGCAATG